GATGGTGGATTTGTGCCAGTCTTTCAGTACAAAACCGTTGCCATGTAGCTGAGGCAGTAGACTGAATCTCTTGGTTTGCTATTCCTCCAGTCCTCCTTGCACATTACTCTCCAGATGATCTTTTAAAACACAAATATCAGCATGCCACTATTTGTTACTCCCCAATTTGCAGCAAGCAAAGTCTCTAGGCCAATTAAGAGGACTCTTACCTCAACCAGACAGCATTCTGGACAGCTGGATGCCATCAAGAATTGGGGCCATCACACCAATGATGATGATTCTTGTGAAAACAGCTTAGAGCCCCAAAGATTTAAAAACATCTCACCTCTCCCATCTTAATGCTTCTCATTATGACATTTTGTCTCCTTGAAAAGTGGTTGTATCACTGATTCCCATCATTCTACAGGATCTAAGTGAATACTCATCACATTCCAAAGATTTTCTTTCATTTTTCTCCAATTGGGTGGGCTACCATGGGAAACCAGAATACTCTACCACAAAATATGCCACTTACCCTAAGGATTATTTTTTGCTAAAGGCAATTGAAAATGAACAGATACACACACACGCACACACACACACACACACACACACACACACACAACTCTCTACCCACAAGTTGCTTTACAGTAAAACATAAATTTACACAGATATCATTCCTTCCCTGTCTACCAAGAAGGACAAAAGTTGATCTTCAAAAATAATTTTAGACCTTTATCAGCTTAGAGGTGGCACCATAGGAATCTATGTAACAAACATTACTAATTCTTGTTTGCCTTCCCATAATTTATAATCCAGCATCCCAGATCTTTTTTCTTTGTCTTGTCACTTCTCAAAAATTTATTGGCCTTTTAAAAAGATGCTAAGTAAGGCATAGTTCTAAGCAACCTCTCTGAGAATTATGCATATTTCCCTCTGTAATTTCTGTGCACAAATGAGGTATACATGTTAATAACTTGTCTATTTTCTCCTGTTAATTGGAATTTTATTATAGGGCCTTATCTCATCTCAGAACTCAGAAGGATAGGGAGAAAATGATTTTTCCTTCCCTACAGAGTTCCTCCTTTTTATTAAAATTCTACCTTGCACAAACCTTTTATAAAAGGGAAAAGAAAAAATATGAGAAAATGAAAAAAAAAATGGAAATAAAGTTTTTGTAAATAGGGAAGGGAGAAGGGGTTAAAGAGAGTGCAGGGGTATGGGGGAAAAATGAGAACCAAGACCTACCATGTAAATTTACAAGATCCCAATGATGAATTTAACTGTACTGTATACCTAAAACGTACCAATAAACTCAATGAGGAAAAAAATATTTAGTTGCTTTGCAGTTACTGTTAGCAGGACACAAAAACCTAAACTGAGACACATTGGTAAATACAGAGCATTTATTTCCATGAATTGTTGTACATGAAAGAAAGAGATTGTGAAGAGATTTTGAGTATTTGAGCCTGACAGAAAGTGAGAAGACATGGAAGAAAAATGAGGCAATCAAGAGACTAATTTAGTGGCTGACCTCCAATCTGTGGTCTGTTTCTTAAGCCCAGCACAATGGACTTGATCTGATTCCTATGGAGGAAAAAAAAAGGCCTCAGACAAAAGCATTAGAAATTAAAAGGCTTATAAAAATAAGGAATAGGGAGGACTAAAAGTTTAGGGTCCAGGAAACAGACTGAAACATGGTAGGGAAAGTGAGACCTCTTTTCATTTCTGCACAAAGTTCCCAGCCACTGCTGTTTTGGAAGGTCATCGGTGCATCTAGGACAATGCATGGGCAGCTATGACATAGCACTGGTGAAGAGTCCAGTTATGCCCAAGGGTACTCTGGAGCAGGCGAGGAAGCCCATAGCCAGCAGAGCCTGCTCTGTCATGTCCAGAGGGAGAAGATTTATGGGTGAGTGCTTGGAATAAACAATGATCTCCCAGTAATAATGATTTAGGAAATATTAGAGATTCCCAGAAATGCTTCCAATATGGCTTTCACAAGGGTCTGCAGGTCTATAGTACAAAGGAGAAAGAGCTACAATATCAAGTTATAAATTACCATTCTTAATATGAGTAGTTTATAGCCATACTCTATAGGTCTGGTAAAATCCAGTTATGTTTATAATTTTAACTACTCCTATCTCTGTTAATTGGGCGTGAGATCACTGAACAGAGACTGCTAATTAAAAATAAAAATCTCCATGGTTCCATCACCTAACACAACCATGAGCAGGTACTCAATATATGGTTGTTGAGTAAAGGGTCAACTATCTCCAATGGGCAAGTTTAGAACAAACAGATGGAAATTACAGGCATATAAGTCAACATAAAACATCTTTCCCAACACTTAGAATTCTTTATCAATACAAGCCTGTTATGACACATTGATAATCTTATCACTGGAAAGGTACTTAAGGATGACCTAGAGGAGGTCCATATCTCAGGCAGAGGGATGGTATTAGGGTTTAGATTAAAAGTGTCCTTCAAAAGGCTCATGTGTTCAGAGTGCGGATTTGAGAAGATGGTTAGATTATGGGGATGTTAATCTCATCAATGGATTTATCCTTTGATGCAGGCATAACTGAATAGGCTGTTAGGAGGTGAGACCTGGTTGGAGGAAGTAGGTTACTGGAAGCAAAACCTGGGAAGGTATATGTATGTCCCTTCCACTTTTTGGCTTTTTCTTGCTCTCATTGTTTCTGCCATAAAGTGAGTAGCTTTACTCCAACAAGCCCTTGCACCATGAAGTTTCTATAAAGGACTAGCTCACCATGGATTAAACCTCTGAAGTCACGAGGCCAAATAAACCTTTGTTCTTTAAATTGTATGTGTCAGATTTTTGGCCACAGTGACAAAAAGCTAATACAGAGCGAACTATTTCCTGCTCTTAAATTGCTTGCTATTTATTGCATGAAGAACAAGAAGAGGTGCTCAGCTATGACAAAAGAATTAGCTGCGTAAGACACTAAGCAGAACTGTAGAGTCAGCAATAAAATTGTTGGTTTTTAAAAAGTCTTCAAGGACTGTCTATAAAAATCAGCAGGCTCAAACCAGAGTTCATCGCAATTGAAATAGTACTCTGAAGAGCTGATACATGAAGCCGCGGGAAGCAGAGATATAATAGTGTCTCCGAACGATGTTCAGAGGACTGAGGTACTTAATGGACATTATCTATAGTAAAGATGTTAAGTGATGAAAGCTTAAAGGAAAGATTTACAATGTGTTGAGAACAGGCTCTGATTTGTGGACCCAGAGCCCATTTCAATCTCCCCTCCATGCCACTGGCAAAGTAAATGCTAGGGCCACTTGTTTTTGCTCCTTTAACTTCCAATAAATGACAGAAGAAATCTATATCTGCAAGAGAAAAATTACTGGACAATGAAGGAAGGGCCTTCTGAGATAAATGAACATTTTCCATTAATTCAAAAGCCATAAATAAAATGATAAAGGGGACTGTCTCACAATGTCAAAGTTCAAAGGCACTTTTCAAATCTCTTTAAAGAAAACTGTAATTTTTTCTTTCTTATTTTATGATCAGGAAGTTTCCAAGAGCAGTCTGGGCCTTGTGTCATTTCCATTTGATGTGGTAGTTCTTTCAGCATTAAAAATAATCGAAGGACAAGAAATATTTAACTCAGAAATGACCATGAGAATAAATTCAGAAGTATAAAAAAACAACAATAATGAAGCATTAGGGTTTTAAGGGTTGTGTTTTAATAATTCCATAAGTTCCTTCCCCATGTATGAGAAACATAATTTCTATAAATTGTCATTAACTAAGGAAATTAACATAAATAGACATTTTGTGTAGTGAATGTCACGTTATTTTACATTTTTTTTAGTAAAAATTTTGAGAATACCACTAGTAACTCCTCCTACCTGAACAACTTTGTTATGTACAGATTATCTGACATATGTAAACATAAATATATTTTCATGGCTATAAAAATCTCTTGCAAAGGGGCTCTTCTCATAATTTCAACTTCCATTTTTAGGTATAATTTATAGAGTAAAATCCATTCTTTTTAGTGTAGAGTTCTGCAAGTTTTGACAAATGCAATTGTAAAACCACCACAAGCAAGATGGGCTCCATCACAATCCAAACTTCCTGCATTCTCTGGTGTCAACCTCTCTCTGCTTCTTGAGTCCCTGGAAACTACTGATCTGCTTTCTATTTTCTATAAGTTTGACTTTTCAAGAAAACTATATTGATGGAATTAGACAATATACACAGAGGCCTCTATGCACTTGACATAAAGAAAAGTAATATTTGTTTTACTGTATTAATTTCTATTTTCTGAAATTAAAGGCAATAATAGATATAAAAGGTTAAATGGTCCTTGAATATTACATCTTGAAAGAGGTATTATGTAGAAAGTCTTTTAAATATAGAGATCCTTGAAAATAAAATTAAATTAAAATGGATTGAGGATATACACAGTGTGAAGACCTGGGGATCAATCTTCAGTAGCACAAAAACAAATAAATAAAGTTGATTAGCAGTTTCAGTCAAGTTCTTGGTGTTGCAAGAAATTGAAACTGGTGACTTAAAAAAATGTATGCTTTATTGTTACTCCATGTTAACCAACATAAAGCACTTGGATTTCAAATTCAGAAGTCAGCAGAATACCTTAAAATCTATTTTAAACCATTACAAGGTTGAGAAAAAATGGACACTAGAAACTAAAGACTAATTTTTTTTTTTGTACCAGGGACCAAACTCAGAACCTTTCCCCTGTGATCCAGATGCAGTGCCACTGAGCTAAATCCCCAGCCCCTAAAGACACAATTTTAATCATATTACAAGTACTATGTAAAATTTGGTCTTTAAAACTGTTTGCAAGCTAGATGTATGCTCATTCATCTTTCAGTTTAAAGATTTGAAATATAAAAGAGCAACATTTGATTGCACTTGCGTCTATAGACAAAGAGAAAGAATTCTTATAGAATTATGCAACACTGTTAATACCGATGGCCAAAAAGAATGAAAAGACAAACATAAATCCCACAGGCCCTACCTGTTCTCAGCATCACCGCTGCACTTTGGGGACATCAGTTCAAAGGACTTGGTAAATTTCACCACCTGCCACGCAGAAACACATTAAATCCAGGTCAATTAAAGAGTTTAAAATGTTTTGCATCTGTATAGTGATTATTATAATAATGGGGGATTAAGGGGAGATTTTAAGTAGGGAGATCTAATGGAGAGAAAAAGATTATTCTGTTCTATGTTTTGTATTTTACTTCTTACATAGCATACACTGCCAAAATACTAATACATTTTAGTAAAGTTCTTCTAACACTTCATGTGAGTGGAAAAGGGACAATTTCTGGCCCTCTTTTGACAAAATACAGTATATCATATGATAGAAATCACATTTCCTATGCCTAAAGGAATATAGCTGAATGTCACTGGATTTTTCTAAGGTTGACACTTAGATCTCTCCTAGCCAGATGCAGTCACGGTTCAAAGGCCTTTTAAATTAACTATTAGCAATGCATTGATGGATACCTGAGACAATGACTTGGAAACTGAGACTATATTAAATGTTAAAAGTTTTATCAGTACGCTAATGAACCTACACTAGGAAAATGTAACATCAGGAAAAAGGTATAAAAGAGAGGCCCATCTCAAAGACAACTATGTGTGACTAGCTCACAGTGGCACAGTGACAATAGCTCAATTACAAGGAAACAAGCTTGAGAACCACAGAACATATTTATTTCATATTGCAATATAAATTAAGCCTCTACAGAATCACCCACTGTTCAAAGTTTATTTCCCAGAGATAGCTACCACAGTACTGCCCATTCCACTTTCTTTTCTATAATGCGACCCTGCCTCCTTCCTACCAAGTAGTAAAGTCTATGTCCCCTCATCTGGCAAAGTCCTGACTGCTTCACTCAATAGAGTACACAGAAGAGAAGCTATACGCCTCTCGGGGTGATCATAAAAGGCAATGCAGCTTCCTCCTTGTCTGATGAGATACCTGTGTCTGAATATCTGAGTCACCATGTAAGAAGCCCAAGTACTCTGAAGCCGCTATGCTGAAAAGGAGCTAAACCATGAAGAGAGGCCTTTATGCTGTAACCTGCAGCTCCAGGTGTGTGTGTGTGTGTGTGTGTGTGTGTGTGTGTGTGTGTGTGTGTGTGTGTGTGTATTACTGAGGATCGAACTTAGGGCCTCATGCATGGTAGAAAACTGCTCAACTATTAAGCTATATTTCTACCCCTTTTGTTTTTTATTTTGAGACAGTATCTCACTAAATTGCTTAGGTTGGCCACAAACTTGCAATCTCCTGCTTCAGTCTCCCAAGTTGCTGAGATTACTAGTCTTTAAAACAGCCCAGGACAGGCTCACATGGGTGAACATTTTTCAGATGGTTTCAGCTCCCAGTCATTAAGTTAACCCCAGTCTTCAAGTTTTCCCAGCTGTATCCCCAGATATTCTGGAGACAAACCATTTTTGCCATAGCTTCTTTAAATTCCTACCCAGTGGAAGTATGATCTGGTTGGTTAAAGTGTCTAATTTGTGGGCTTATCATATAGCAAAAGTAAATGGAAATCCTGAGAATTTAAACAGAAACCACTCACTTTTGTAAGGGTAGGTATCAACTTCTGGAAAACTGATATCATTGAAAACGATCAAACAAATGAATTTTTACCCAAGTAGAGAAACATGATTTCTGTACAATAGGGAAAAAAAGCACAATGTTTACAATGTTATTGTCTTGAATTACTGTAATCATTTAAAAAATCTAATCTAGAAATTTTTCACTTATACTTTTTCAGTGCCTATTTTAGAACCAAATTTCCTGCCATGTTATTTCTCTTATTAATGAGTTAAATAAATCCCTGATACATGCTTGCTTTCTATTTGTGTAAAGTTAGGTTTTTAACTTTTTGAAAATTGACGTTTGACACAAGAAATGTGTGCTGAGCATATGTACGTGTCAAACAATGAGAGGCACCGGAACTGGAAGTCTGATAGTAAAAAAGAAAGAAAAATGTTCTTAAGAGAGGATGGGGTGGGATGGGGTAGAATGAAAAAAAGAATTAAGATATGTCATATACATGTACCAATTCCCCACAAGGACTGTAATCATTACATACTGCAAATGTGTACTAATATATATGATTTTCTTTTTTTTTTTGGTACGGGGATCGAACTTGGGTCCTTGTGCTTGCGAGGCAGGTGCCAAACCACTGAGCTAAATCCCTAGCCACAAACGTGTACTAACAAAAATAAAAATTTAATAAATATTTAATGGAATTACACAATGTTGGACCTCGAAATTATATATCACAACACAGTCCAAATCTTTACATTAGATAAAATGATTTGCCTAAAGTCATATAACTACTTAGAAGCTATAACTATACAGCGATTAATCATGTGCTAAAGTACTAATGTATAACATATCAACCCTGATATTTCTCAAAATCATACATGAAGGGTATTTTCTAATGGCAAATAAATTTACAAGAGTCTAGAACATCTTTTTGCTATGAAAAGAAAAAGAAAACAAAATCCCTGTATTCATGGAGCAGCGTACTTTATGGTGGGGAGCTTAATTTGCCCTGGATCTTCAAAACTAGCGCTCCATGGAAAAATAAGGGTACTTCTGTTTCCCACTTCAGGCAAATAAACTGACCTACAATAAAGAGATTAAAAAATTTTTTTTGCTATATGAAAGGTAGAAGCTTATAAGAAATGGAATAGGAAATCTTGAAATTCTAAGCTGTAGAACTTATAGATCTAGAGTCACAAAGGAAATAAATTAGATATACAAATATCTCTTGATATATACACAGTTAGTACATGTGAACTCTTCACTTGATCTTAGCCAAAAGGCTGAGAAGCGATAGTACATGTGAACTCTTAAAACCCTAATTCAACATTTTAAAGTGTAAAAAATTAAATTATAGGGCCAGAAAAAAATTATTGATTCACTGATGTGATTCCTTTTACTAAATCAAAGGAATTATAAAACATATTCTTGATATATACACAGTTAGTACATGTGAACTCTTCACTTGATCTTAGCCAAAAGGCTGAGAAGCGATAGTACATGTGAACTCTTAAAACCCTAATTCAACATTTTAAAGTGTAAAAAATTAAATTATAGGGCCAGAAAAAAATTATTGATTCACTGATGTGATTCCTTTTACTAAATCAAAGGAATTATAAAACATATATATTTTATATATATATATATATATATATATTATATATATATATATTGGATGTTGGGCGGCTCAGAGCTTAGCTTTAGAGTCAAAGTTTTATCTTTACGCAGAATAACTTAGTTTTTAATCTGTTGGCTTTGTTTGGCTTTGCTTACAAAATTTGCTTTTTCATTTTCTTTTGAATTTTGCCTTTCATGCTGATGAATGTGTAATACATCATCAATACTCTAAATATTTGTTCACTGTAAATTTTTACATTTTTGCTCAACAGTGTTTTAAGTCTTTTCAGTAGTGAAGTGAATAAAGGTACAAAGAGAAGATGGAGTTCTTATACACTTGAAAAAGGTAAAAATCTACAAATGAAATAATATAAATTTATGTCTTAAGACTAATTTAGAATGGATCAAAGTATTTATGGGCCATTACACTGTACAGGAGAATATTATTCAGATGTATGGGAAGGGAATCTGAAATAGTGGGTCAGAGAAATACAGTATTTAAGGGCCATCAGCTGATGGTAAAGCAATATAAGAATGAAAGAAAAGCAGGTGTAAGTTTCATCAAGACAGTAACAAAACATAACAGAGCAATAAAACTGTCCAGGACAAAACCACTGCTGAGTCAAAGCCAGCTGAAATCAAGGAAGTACTGAAACATTTGGGTCCATATTGAGTGTAAAGTTAGTCTGGATCCAGATCCTCTGACTTTGAAAGCCATGTAGAGTCAATTTGAGACTGTCAGATAAACCCAAGTCTAAATCATATGTTCAGGACCCCAGGAATACTGGTAGAATCTCCTTATAGATTCTCTCATTTGGGAGCAACCTGAGGTCACACTTACAGCCATACTGACCATCCAGGGTTGGCAGATTATTGGGCAAGATGAATAGTGGAGAAGTATTTTAATTCTAGAGAAGCAAACTCATATGCCTGCCTCCCTGTTCTCTAGAGCAGGAGTAGATAAGAAAAGTCCATGGAGCAAATGACAGCCCATGACCCATTTTTATAAATAATGTTTTATTGAAACAGAGCCACATATATTAATATAATATGGTCTACGGCTGCTTTCTATTACAAGAGGAGAGTAGAACAGCTGCAACTGATACCATATGGGCCACAGCACCTAAAATAGCTACTATCTGTACTGGCCAAACCTTTGTTAAAAAACAGTTTAGCAACCTGTGGTCTAGAGTTATCTTTGGGCTGAGCCAACTAGTTATTTTCTGCTAAATTGTTAAAGGATAATCATAGATTAATGTATTAATATTACCATATAATTTTTGTATAATTCTGAAATCACAATTTTTTGGAATCATAATTTTTTATCCAAAATGACACCGAAATTATAGAAATTTTAGGCACCCAGGCAAGTAGTAGAAGGTATAGTTGAGGACATGCAGTAGTTCATGGGACAGTCCCACTTTCACTAAGTCCTGTGGACAACTGCTAATAATATTTCCTTTCATTCTCAAAAGTTTCTTTGAATAACAAATTCTGTCCTACCAGGCCTGTGGCTGCTCCTCAATGCATCACACAATTTATGTTTTTTAAAGGGAACTTATTAAAAGGATAATGCATTCAAATAGAAAATATATTCAGACACCTGGGCTTAAAAATAAAGTATCAAAAACAGCTTAAATATTTTTATATAATTTAATGGGCTATAAAGAGTGACACTGTAGAAATTATACCAAAAAGAAAGAGAATCCAGGCATAGTGGCACTTGCGTGTACTCTCAGCCTTCAGGAGGCTGGAAATGGAGGATTGGGAGTTCAAGGCCAGCCTGGGCTACATAAAGTGACCTTGTCTAGGGGGAGAGCACGTACAGCCATACTGAAAATACATAGAAAAGCATAAATAAAAGAGAATAGACTTCATTCTTTATTTCTGATTT